GTGGTATCATTATATTCTAAGGGAGATCGCACGACGGCACAAGTCCCCTCTCAAAGGCAACACTGCTAATTTTGAATTTTGACTTACTCAAAGTCGAATTATTTTAAGTTGCATATGCTTATAATTTTACTATTGTAGGGACTTTGGGGTGGCATGATAGCCGGAACAGCTATCCAGAAATTGTGCGAGCCAGTACTGTATGTTTAACATGGAATACTAAACGGAACTGGATAGTATTGAAAAAAAAATGTCGTCAAAATTTTTTTCATTATATTGTTGCTAATAAATATGTACACGACTTTAAGGCCTTGTGTTACGGCTTTATTTGTTTTCGAGAGACAATGCTGCAATGCAGCAAAATATATACATCACTGCTCTCCTTCCCCTGAAACTTCATTAGTCTGCATTTCTTGATTTCGTTTTTGATTGCGAAAATTATCTTTACGAAAGTTGCTATCCCATCAGAATCATATCATGAAACTATATTTGCAGGTGGAGCATACGACAAAGTGCATGCGAAAATGGGGAGGGCAGGACACTGAAACTGAAAAATTAGCTACTAACCAGCTTTCACTCCAAAATGGAAGACTGTAAATGCGTGTTTGATATTCAGTATTAGATCATAATGGAGAGTATAATGAACACCGTCCAGTGTTATCTAATCTACTAATCAAACATGCAATGGGAGGAAGGGAACTTGATATGCAACTTATTTTCGCTGTACTAACTCAAATTTTCCCTGCTTTATCTAGTTCAAGGTATAATCAGGTGAATGTTGTTCACTGTTCGACAGGGACTATGATCATGTACTTCATCTGAAATTCTGGAACTTATTTTTCGAATTTTACTTGTGTGTTCTAATTTTACAGTAAGATACATAGAACTAATTTTATTTTTTATGTTATAGATAGATGCATGTATTTAAAGAAATATAAAACATGTATATGCAATGTACACTACAATTCAAATCCATGTCTATAGCATTGATTCATCTTCGCGTTGTGAATCCTACAGCCACGGAATTCAACTTTGGTTCATTAAGTTTCTCTTAATACCAGTCGATCCTGGTCAGATTTGATTCCCACAGTAGATAAAGAATCAACTAGTTCCACTTGAAACCAATTCGGTCCGTGCCCAAATGGAACAGTTATCCTCGTAACCTTTTTCAATCACCAACTCAAACTCGTTGTCGAATTGTAATCCACACTAAAACATCCGTAATCCCATCTAGTACCATGTAT